TGTCTATTCATAGGACTTATTTGTAACCCTTAGGGTCTTGCAGTTAAGTGGACAAAGAATGATCCTGTTTCTGTTACATCTAAACATCATGTTTTTTCTTGACGTGCACGTCCACTGGAAGCAAGCATATTTTCAGGGCTCTTTGTCTCAATATTTCCTTTACCTTCTCATTAATTGCATAATACTTCCCCAACTGAAACTATGTTTTCTTCTATACATCCTCTCAACATTTTTTTTCTCTCAGGGATGAAAATGGTTGTTGTGGCCATGACGATGCATTTGGGCAACTTCTCACCATCCCCCTCATCCTCCCTGTAATCTCAGGTTGCTGTGTTCCCTTTGATGAGCCTCTTCTGCTATCAATACCAAAAGTTACAAGTGTATGATCAATTCAGTCATTCATTATCTTTTCTTTTTTTCATAGCACTGGGGTTTGAACTCAAGGCCTTATGCTTGTTAGGTAAACACTATACAATTTCAGCAACCCCTTTTCCTTCAGGTTATTTTTCAGATAGGGTCTCATGCTTCTTGCTTATACTGACTTTAGACTATCATCTCCCTATTTTTTTCCTGCCTACTAGCTAAAATTATAGATATGAGCTACCATGCCTGGTCTAACATATATTTATTAATCATCTTTATATCCCAGTAATATTTTAGGTATCTGGTGATAAGCAAAGACCTGTGTCTCATCTGTTCATTGCTAAGATTATTTATCACATATTTATATACACAAATACAGAATAATGTATGATGAGGAAAATGTAGGTGGCATTCTGAAAGCATCAAACAGGGAGTCATCAATGTCAGAGAATTTCTTCCTGGAGAAGTGATTAGTTAGTGAAGCACAAACAAAAAGTGAGTATAAACTAGGAAAAGAGAAAAGAAATGTCATCTCAAAATAGTAAATGGCAAAAATAAGGCCTATGGCAGAAAGTGAAAATACAACATAGCACATTCACAGAACAGAATAAAGCCAGTGAGGCTAGAGTGGAAAAAAAAGAAAAGCAGTAAGGCATGAGGGGAGCCAGCCTGGAAAAACAGGAAAGAGACAGTTCAGGGAAGAAATGTTGACAGTTAATATGAGCTGTGGTCTGAGGCTAGAGTAAGCTTCCTGTGCTTGTAAAAGGGGCATACCTTGCAAAGTAGCTGAGCAAACTAAACAGAAAAATTGTTTTGAAAGAGCTTAGCTTAGTAACCTTGTATTGGAAATGTTATATCAAGGTCCCGTGTGTGACCTAAAGACAGATGGCTGAGCCGGAATGGAGAAGGTCAGTTTTGAAGATGAGCAGGTCAAGTAAATGGCACCTGAGTGTTGTTCTGGTCATAATTGGATGTTGAAACTACCCAAGGATATGGCAAACTTGGGTTCACAGTGAAAACCATAACTCAGTGCCAGAGGCTTTGATGAATGAGAGTCAACAGGAGGCCAACAGATAAATGAGAACTGACGATATACTTGCCATGGCTCTGTAAGAAACTTGAGTAATTTCTCTGTGCAGGAATTAATTCCTCTAAAGGTGAATGTTAATGCAGATGGTTTTTGCAATTGAATATGATTATAGTAGTTATTAGGCTTCAATAGCCATATAATTTTATATTTAATAACTGTTCAATATACTTAAAAGTTAGAGAAGAATTTCATGGAAAGAGAATAAACAGAAAAACCCAACTGGCAACCCCTCCCCTGAAAAATCATTGGAATAATTTTTTTTTTGGTCGGTCATGGGGCTTGAATTCTGGGCCTGAGCACTGTCCCTCAGCTCTTCAGCTCCAAGCTAGTGCTCTACTACTTGAGCCACAGCACTACTTCCGGTTTCTTGGTGGTTAATTGGAGATAAGAGTCTCATGGACCTTCCTGCCCCAGCTGGCTTTGAACTGACATCTCAGCCTTCTGAGTAGCTAGGATTACAGGCATGAGCCACAGGCATCTGGCTGAAATGGAGACTGTTAAATGGAGAAGTCCACCTTTATTCTGCAGTAGCCAAAGGGTCAACAAATAATGTTTTGTGCTGATAATTATGCTTTGGAGGAATCACTTAGAAGTGGTGTGCTGGGTACATTGGAGAAGGCTGGTAAGACCAAAGGAGGGCAGCAAGAGTCAGCATTTGTCAGGTGAGGGTCCATGAGATCTTGAATGAGATTAATGAGAAAAGGAAGGAGAGGGATAAAATGTGTTAGTACTCAGTGACCAGGAACGAGGGAAAGCCACAGCTAGGATCCATCTAGAAACAACAACCCAGGGAGGTTTGTTTTGATGATGAATGTAGGTAACATTTTTCACTCTGGTGTGTATCAAGGACAGTGTGACTACAAAAGGTAGGTTTTGACTTTAGGGAAGGAATGAATAGAAAGGGGGGCAGGGGAGTGGAGGGGTTGGGGGGAATGGAAGGGATGGGAAGGGGAAACAAAGGAGGAAGCAACAATGCTTGATAAGAAATGTATTCATTACCTTGCTCATGTAATTGTAACCCCTCTGTAAGATATTTTCACAATAAATTAAAAAAAGAAAAAAAAGAAAGAAAAAAGCTTCCTGTGGTTAACTCCATGTCAAGCATCCATCCTGGCTTCCTTCTCCTTCTTTCCAGCCACTATCTACTCATTCTGCCTTCTTCTCCCTTCATCTCTCCTACCTTTCGCATCAGCTACTTGATACTCACTGTTTACTTCTGAGAACAATGTTTCCTGGGTTCCTTACTTTGCAGGTCTTTTCTCTACAATGTTCTATCATTTTCTGCAGAGTGACCCCTTCTTGCTTAGTTCCCCTCACCTGTGTCTATCTGCTTACCTACTGCACCTGTCTTGCTGACTTAAGTTGTATTTTTAATTAATTATTTTCTTCAGTTTGGGATTTTAGAAGATAGGAACTCAGTGATAGTTTCTATCAATCCATTAATTTTTAGTTCAATAATAATTTGCCTCATGTATTAGAGTATTTTCACTGACAAATTTTTAAGGACTTATTTTTATGGAGTTTATATTTAAAGTGTTAATGAACAGGATTAAATTTATAATAAGTCCACAATCTTTTTTTTTTGTTTTTGTTTTGTTGGTCATAGGGCATGAACTCTGGGTTTGGGCGCTATCTCTCAGCTCTTCAGCTCAGGCGACTGCGCTACCGCTTGAGCCACAGTGTCATTTCTGATTTTCTAGTGGTTTATTGGAGATAAGAGTCTCATGGACTTTCCTGCCTGGGCTGGCTTTGAACTGTGATCCTCAGATCTCAGCCTCCTGAGTAGCTAGGATTACAGGTATGAGCCACCAGTGCCTGGCATAAGTCTACAATCTTAAATGTGGAAGGTGAATTTATGAAGGATCATGAACTTGTGCACATTTATCATATCAGAGTGATTCTTTCTACTTTATAAATTAAAATAAATGGCACTTAGCCATGACTTATTCTTATCTCCTTCCCAATGCACTCTCAAGCAAAGTTTGTAGAACACTACTCAGAAAAAGTGTTCCTTCTTAGAAATGGGGACAGAGCTATTGCTTCTCTTTCCACACATTTTTCTCTGAAGGCCTACTGAGATCTGAGGTCTGAAGCATCAGTGTGAATTACTAGTACATGTACTAGACCTCTTGAGTCTTAGATCTCTTTATTTCAGAAATGTCTTTCTCTTTTTATGTCAATATAGACAGAAACCTCGCTGAGTAGAAGATAACTTAGACATGCTAGTTGAATGATGCTGAAACTCGATAAAATATGATGAATAGAGTTAAAAGAAGGCAGAATTTAGGAAGTTGGAAATAAAGTGTATTTGATAGATGCTCCTAGAATAAAAAGAAGCAAGGGATAATTGGTCAGACAAATAAGGCATGGAAAGAGACTGTGATGGAATGTCCAGGAGGAGAATTTCTAAGTCCCTCAAGACAGAAAGGATCAATGTTTGACAGAAGTTAGTAGGACAGGAGATAAAGAGGGACTGTTAATGTGTATATAGTTTTTTATGGGATGATTAAAATATTCTGGAATTAGTAGTCATTACATAACTCAATAAATATGTTAAGAACCCTTGAGTTGTATACTTTACAATACTAGGAAATGAACTACAAAGAAAATTCAAGAGGAAAGATATTTAAATACAAAAAAAAATCCCCAAATAGGTATATCTAACACCAGAGAGATCAGAGTGTGATAGGAATGTAATGGAATTGGTGATGAAATACCATTCATGAAAAAGCATTCAAGAGAATGCTTTCCATAAAATGATCATTCACATCTCCTCTTCTTTCTCCACCATAGGTATATAAATTTATAAAATTACTCTTTCACATATTCCTATCTCTATTGGTAGAGTGTCTAATGGTTCTCCTGGATAGCTTCAGTTTATATAAGCTAAAAAGACATTCTGACTATGCTTTAAAAATTCAGAATGTGTGTGCTTATACTACCAATTAGGCTTGTCTGTCATCTTGCCGTTATTGTAAAATCAAACCTGTACTCCAAGATCAGTTTAGTTCATATGATGATCTTAGTGCCAAACATCATTTGAAGTGTCCCTAAAGAGAATAGGAGTTATCTGTCTTGAATACGTATAATTTTTGGTAGTAGTGTTATTTGTTACATGTCTTGCCTTATGGAAGTTCATTGATAGAGTCATGAGCTACTGACAGTGGGCCAATCACATATTATTTCTGAGCTACATTTACTTGATTTTGAAGCTAACATGTGTAGTGAAGTTTAAGCAGAGTACTGCTTAGGAGAAAAACAGATGAGACTTATTGAAAGCTATTAATCATATTTAAATATATGTAAAGATATAAGTCAGTATTATATCTTTTTAAAAAAAAACTCTAGACCCTGTAAGACTAGTCCTCTTTAATTCCTTCTTCGTAGACCAGAGACTTCACATCCAAATACCGCTTATTAAGGCTTTCCTTGTTACATACTTGCTGAACTAACCTTTATTTTAACAAGGAAACTATTCTACTGCCATGATTGACCTCTGTATTGACTTCATTGTTTGTTCATTTATTTTATTCTGCTCCTCATGTAGGTTTTCCAAATGAGCCTGCTGCAGTTATTGCCCTTGGTACCATTAAGGAATGGCTGGCCAAGAATCACCAGGAGGTAAGAGGACCAGCATGGTCTATGGCATTCTAGATCATATAATTTGTGATCTTCATTTTAGAAAAACAATACACAAATTTCATTACTGTCTGCTACACTACTCATTAAGCCAATGCTAACTCGCTATTTCTCATTTCAGTTACATAGGTGATTGCATATTTTCCCAATTGAAGTAATTATATTGATCAGTTTGTGGTTAAGATGAGAAAAGTAATCGCATTCACCATAATTTCATCTTTATATTTTTGCATCATGTGGTTCTATTCAGGAAAATAATGTATTTCATGAAGAATAATAGTTCAATCTGGCTGTTTTCCTTAAAGAAATGAGTTGTCTTTGTTGGCAGGGAATTCTTGGTATAAAGTAAATTTTGATATCCTATACTGCCTTCATCTGTAATGAATCACTAAAGTTATTTGTGTGAGATTGTCATGGACTTGGCTAATTTTTAACTATATCAGTATGACCAGAGAATTTGTGTGTGTGTGTGTGTGTGTGTGTGTGTGTGTGAAACTGTAAGTTTCTGTCAGAATATTTTCTGTGATTCCAATTCTCTAAGGATATATTCAATGATAAACAGGAGGACTACTCTAGTAAACAAAGCAACAGAACAACTAGAGATTTGGATGGAGCTTTAGGTTTCAGAAGTTTGTCAATTAACATATTATTGCAAATGGATTTCAGGCAATGCACACACTTGAAGATTTTTTCTTTCAATTTTGTCTCCTCAGATAGTAGCATAAGGGTTGCGAGAACTTAGTTTCCTGATGGACTGTGAATGTAGTTTGCTTTTTGGATAGGAGATGGATTATTCAGAAATGTGTGGGCATGGAAAACGCCTATCAGAATTTCTAAGAAGTAACTCTTGGTTTCTTAATGTGTCTAAAGAAACAGCAGGGCTGGTAATATGGCTCAAGTGATAGAGCATGAACCCTGATTTCAAAGCCCACTATTATAAAACAAAGTGTCATTTTTAATGATGGCAATGTCAACATTTCTTGATCAGATATATGAAAGTAAGACAGCATGGCCAGCTATATCCATTTTGATGCTTGTTGCTTTCTCCCTGTCTTACTTTGAAATATATGAATGTGATAACTTCATTTTAGAAGACAAATTACCTCAAAAAAGCAAAATAAATTAGCTAGCCTGCAAAATATGCCCTTAACACAAATTATTTTCATTATCACAACAACCTTACAACAAATCTAATACAAGTATTGTTGTTCACATCTTCATCCAGTGGCAAAAGGTTAATGACACGTTGAAGATTGGGAGGTGCAAGACAAGTGGTTGAGTCAGTTCTCATGATGAAGCAGGCTTTCCAATGTGGAATGCCACTGAATCCAGGGAGAATTTGAACAGCTTTAAAAGCTAGTTTTCTTCAATGTATCTTTTGGTCATAGAAAATGTTCCTTACCTGTACCATCTTTGCCAAAGAGGGACATGTTTCATGAGAGGAAGTTGAGAGACAAATATATTAGCACATTTGCATAATTTTCACTGAGTCATAACCCAAGAGTATCACCACTAAAGGAAGTTCATATGTACTGTCGTGGTATATTATAGATACTTCTTATAGGAAAGTGATGATGAAAAGAAAACATATAAGTAATATCTACAGCTCATTGACAAATTCCAGTAATGGGCTCTTTCAAAGGTTGCTTTCTATAGATGTTGTTTTTTATTCTGATGCTTGCTATTTAATTCACTTGTTTTCCCTTTGAGTCCAGTCCTTTGATTATATATCCATTCTTGCACAGTTCTTGGATCCCTTGTAGAAATTCTAGGTAATGTGGATCGGAAAACATAGGTTAGTTATTTCGACTTTACACATATCCTATACTGATTTCCTTTTACAGGACACCTTGTTTCCATATGCACTGACTAGTTTGAACGAGTTAATTCGAACACATCAGATTTTACTGAATAAATGAATTATAAGTAGTACTCCATAGATGGAAGCTGTACAAACTGATTATCTAGCAGTGTATTTTTGTTCTTTTAAAATAGATGAGGTGAAGGATTTACAAAGGGATATTGCTTCTAGTTCAATTGTCTCTTCATTGAAATATTGTTTTGACATCTTGATTATTTCAGCTATTTATTCATTCATTTGCTTGTTTGATAAATATTTATTGAATCATCCCAAAGACCAGACACTTCTTTTTATATACCAAGGAGAGAGAGCACTGTAAAACAAACAATCACCGCCGTATGATATCCATGGTCTAAGTAGAGGAAAGTGAATTAAATAAACAAATAAACTTCAAAGAATGATTTACAAAATAAAACATGATAATTATATAGTGAGTTGTTGGAGGATATGGTTTTAGAAAATACAGAATCTCCTCTGAGGACATAATCTTGGAAGAAACATTTGTACAATGGGAAGGAGTAAGCCAAAACCATACCAAGGTCATGAAGTAAAACATTCAAACGGAGGGAGCAACAAGAGAAAAAGAAAGAAAGAAACCCAGAGGGAGAATGGGCTTACTGTTTATAAGTGTTGGTAAAAGAACCACTGTGCTGGGGATTTAAAATAATAATGGCAGAAGACAAATTTGGAGATGGGCTGAAGCTAGAAAATAGGATTTTGAGGTTCACAGATAGAAAAATTGTTTGGAAGATTTTAAGAAGGGGAGTAACATAATCTTTATCACCTTTAAAAAACAAATCTGAGCCGGGTGCCAGTGGGTCATGCCTGTAATCCTAGCTGCTCAGGAGGCTGGGATCTGAGGACTGGGTTCAAAGCCAGGGCAGGAACCTCAACTCCAGTAAACTAGTCAAAAAAATCTGAAAGTGGCATTGTGGCTCAAGTGGTAGAGCTCATTTCTTGAGCAAAAGAAGCACAGAGATGGAGTCCAGACCCAGAGTTCAAGCCCCAGACCAGCCACCACCGCCCCCCCCCCAAAAAAAAATCAAGTCTAGCTCTTTCAGAAAATGACCAAACTAGGAAAAGAAAGTATGAAACTCCTGAAGTAGGTCCAAGCAATAGATGGATTCTTTGGGATACAATGATTGAAGAAAAGGCAGTGGCAACCATGGAGTTTGAGATATGCTTTAAAACAGGGCCAACAATATGTGGACATTTTTTTCCTTATGCACAGACTAGATTATACTGCAATAATAAACAACCCTCTAGGCTCAGTGTCATAAAAGAGCAAAGATTTGTCATTCACAAGATTATCTATCTGAGTCTACAGAGGACACTGGATTAGTCAGATCTGCCATATAAAATATCATTTATTGTATGACAGGGAAATGCAGTTCTTTTGTTGAAACCCGTTATATTTCCTTTTTCAGAGAAAGGTACCCAAAGACATTGTTCCAGGAGACAAGAAAACACAATTCTTTCATATGTTTAGAATAGGAAAATTGAGCATCAGATACTAGTAGTGATACTGTTGTTAAAGTGAACCTGATATGGCATATGACAAAAAAAGCACCAAAAAAACCAGTGTTTTCAAACTGTATCCTGGGTAAATGTTGGTGCATTGACACGATGAGGAAAACTGTTGTAGAAGCATGTTTACTAAAAAAGAAAATAAGAATTATGCTACTTCTAGTTATGTCTCTTATGATTCCAATTATCCAATGAAGATTTCAAAAAGACATGCTGGCTATTTGAGCTCAAAGTTCAATATAAAAGGGACAAAGACAGTAATGGTGAAATTGAGTAGTTCATCACAACATTAATTTAGGTGGAGGTTTACTTTGATATTACTTGAAATGAATAGGAATATATGTCTGTGTATGTGTATACATATAAATAAGGATATAATATATTCTTTAAGCCAGCTTAAAGAAGAATATATATAAATAAGATATATATATATATATATATGTATAGTGTGTGTGTGTGTGTGTGTGTGTGTGTGTGTGTGTGTGTGTGTGTCTTGTAGTTTAAGAAACTGATCTACATCAAGGTCTCTTAAGGATCCTGGAATCCCTAACTATACAAAACAATAATCTCTTTCTTTCTTTGTGTGTCTTTCCTTCTCCCTCTCTTGTTCTCTCCTTCTTTCCCTCTCCCTCTACTTCTCACCCTCTCACTTCATATTTATATTATTATTGTTATTAGTTACAATAATATTAATATTTTGTGCATTATTCCCTAAAGCTATTCACCAGTTTACACATGATTTTATCATGACTGTCCATTTATGAGTCAATAATTTGTGTTTGAGTGAAGGCCAGCATTGAGTTTGGTGGGTAATGTTGTATGTTCTTGGACTCTAACTTAATCAGATCCTTAATGTTTTCCTTTTGAAATATGTAAAATTAACATGCTATACGTCTTCCATTAATGTCCATAGTTCTCTTACCTAAGATAGTAGATGATTTAATGATGCACAGTATATGATACAATGATGTTTAACTTCCACACACCACAAATAATGTCATATAGTAGTGAGTGTTCACATTGCACCATTTACTTATCCTTTGTTTCCTATACTATTAGTAGTAGACACATTTTATTACCCCAACACAATAGTTGATTCGTTTCTCTATAGTTTTGCAATTCACTGCCAGCCAGTGTGGACAGACACTTCCATACCCTGCCTTGGAATCATTGAGACTGACTAGGAAAATCAAGTTTTATCTTCTACTTTATTATAGAAACAGACAAGCAAAACAAGGGGCTGTTACGGAAATGAACAGTGGAAATGTGGCCCAGACTTCTAACTTGGGGTGGCTGCTTCATGTTATCATACACAGTTTCATGCATTCCTCATTTTTCATGCAATCTAAAAATATCATTTCACAAATACATTGATTTTCTCCACTCCACAGCTACCCTATTCATATCTGGAAGTTGGCCCAAGAAATGATTTTTTTTTACAATGCCTGTTCTATGGTCCTACCCCAGGGACTCATAAGGAATTTGGCTATTGATCTCCAGAGCAATATACATATTTTTAATTTATTTTTCTTATAGAAAGCAGAACAGAATGTCTTTGACCTTTCAAAGCTACCAATGGCCTGGTACTAGAATG